TTTAATTAAAAAAAAAACCATAAAATTCACAGGTATTTTCACCCGAAGCCCCACTGCGAAAAAAAAAACGCTACGGCAAAAACTCAATGAAGACCTGCTCGAAATTTTTTTTTCAAATATCCCCAGAAAACAGAAAAATCCAGCAAAAATAAGTCACGATGTGTCGAAAAAAAGCACTATACCCTAATGCAGTTTCTCAAAAATTCTGCAAAATTTCGGATATTTTTTCCACAAAAGAGAATTTACATCAAAAATTTTAAAAAAAAAAACATCATTTCAAGTAAATTTTTTCGGAAATTTCGTGAGTTTTCGCTATTTTACATGGAAAAAATGAAAAATAAACAAACGGAATGGCGCAAAAGCGGTACGCGTACATTTTTTGAATAGTATTTAAAGCACCAAAAAGGGGTAATTGAAGGGGTTCAGTTCAGGGGGGGGGGGGTTGCCTGGTGAAAATATGAAGAATGTGTGTACTTGGCAAAATGTGGAAGAAAGCAAACGAGGAGGGGGGTACATTGACGCTTCAGAAGCGACACTAAACATACAACACACACGGAGTTGTCACACTACTAAAGTATCGTACATTTCTTTCTTTTTTCTTGTGCCGGTGGCTCCAGTGCTGCCAAAATTGCTTCATCGAACACATTTTTAAGGCCTTTCTGAAAAATATGCAAAAAATAAATATATCAAATTTAAAAAACCCCCAAAAATTCTACTTTGCTTGGAAGCTCAGAACCCAGAGAAACTCGGGAACCGGAAAAGCTGGAAAACTGAAATTTAAAGGGATTGTTCCCTGTTCAAGCACCACGTAGTTGTGGAATTAACTTTCGGCTTTTTCCTTCTTCCACTGATTTTGTGAGGACAGTTAGTGTTTTGAAGAAAATTTGACCAGGGGAAGAACCCTCCTAATATAGGATTCTGCTTTCAGCCAAAAAATCCCTGAGCAAAGTTCGGGAATTAAAAATTAAATAACAAAAACTAAGAAAAAAAAATTAGGTAGGAAAAATTAGGTACATTTCTCTTTCCCCTCCCCTCCTCTCCCGCCTTTCCCTTCCCCGCCATCCCCACCTCTCTCCCCCGTCCAAAAAAAAAATCCCTATATAACTGAAAGATGTAACAACCTGTGTGAGTGCTGAACATTCCACATATTTCACTGCTTTCAGTTCTTTTGCTAATTTTTCGCCCAGCTCAAATGAAATTGGTCGTTGCTTGATTTTTGCCAGCTTTTCGATGTAGAGGGGATCATCTCGAAGATCAATCTGTGTACCGACCAACAGGAATGGTGTTTTCGTGCAATGATGCGCTATTTCCGGAACCCACTGCAAAAGGGTCACCGATTAAAAAATTCGGGGCCAGAACATCAAAAAACATCATCTCAACATCTTCGGCATCCTGAGAAAAAACGGCTTTTTGCCATCAGTTCATCCTTCGGCGGGGTTTTCTCAAAAATTTGAACTGATAACGTTTTCTCAAAAATTGCAAAATTTGGCGTTTTCTCAAAATTTAACTAATACATAAACTAATTTTCCAATAAAACAGTGATCCCCTATCGCTGCTATTGATCGGC